CAGAAAAGACAATTCCTACGCTGCTGAAAGTGAGAGTGACTCTGAAGATGATGACTCGCCTGAAGATGTAACAGGATATGTGGCCTTCATGGGAAGCTTAGAGGAAGAAGATGAATCCAGAGATGATGAGTCAGTTGCTGTCAATGGGGAGAGTTCTTCAGAAAGTGAGTCAGATGTTGAACAAGATGTAGATGTTGATGGTGCGCTCAGAAAATTGTATGACAACTGGCTGTTACAGAGTAAAGAGACGATCTCATGGATGGAAGAGAAGTTAACACTTCGAGATGAGAATGAGAAGCTGGAAAAAGACTTAGCTCTGGAAGTTAAGAAAAACAGTGAGCTGATGCAGAGATGTAGTTCAGAGGAAGAAAAAACCAGAGTCCTCACACTAGAGTTGAATGATACTCGGAAGAAGATACACATGCTGAATAGTGGAACAAAGGATCTGGATAGCATACTAGCCTCTGGGAGAGTTGGCAAATCAAACTTTGGTTTGGGTTACCATGGAGGTAGTACAGGTGGAACTACCAAATTCGTGAAGAGTCAGTCAGCCCAGAATGTTGTTAATCATCACAACCACAAGGATGTTAATCATCACAACCACAATGTTGTCAATCATCACAACCATAGTGCAGCTAGGAACAATTCAAGACTTGCTCCAGCCAGGCATCTGCATCAAAACTACCATCACAGATCAATAACAGTATAAGTGCTATTACTGTGGACGACATGGTCACATACAGAGGTACTGTTACAGGTATGCATCTAAATTGAATAAGCTGATGAGAGAAGGAAAGCTTTATCCACATCAGAGAAGACCGTAAAAAATGATGTATGTAAAACGGGACGATCTGTATTGTCATGTTGCATACACTTTAGCTGAAGCAAGTGGGTCTAAGCCATGGTACTTTGACAGTGGGGCTTCTCGACATATGATAGGGAATCAATCTAATCTGGATAATTACACAGACGTGAAAGAGAGCAAAGTCACAATTGGTGGTGGAGCTAAAGGGAAAATCAAGGGAAAAGGAGATCTGACCAAAGCAGAAAAACCTCAACTCACAAATGTCTATTTCGTTGAAGGACTTACAGCCAATCTCATCAGCATAAATCAGCTTTGTGATGAAGGTTTAACTGTAAGCTTCAACAAAGTCAAGTATTGGGCTACAGACGAGAAGAACCAGAAAGTTCTCTCTGGTGTTCAAACCGGGAAGAACTGCTACATGTGGGAGGAAACTTCAACTTGTTTAAAAGCTGAGAAAGATGATCCAGTGCTGTTCCATCAACGTCTAGGTCACGCTAATGCAAGAAGTCTTGCAAACTTGGTAAGAAAAGAGATAGTTAGAGGTGTGCCAAATCTGAAACATGTGGACAAGATTATGTGTGGTGATTGCAACCATGGAAAGCAAATCAAGGTACAACAAAAGATGGCAACAGAATATGGTATGTCTCTCTCAGATCCCTTACTTATTAAATGTGATAGTAAAAGTGCTACTGACATATCTAAGAACCATGTGCAACACTCTAAAACTAAACACATTGAGATAAGACATCATTTTATTAGAGAATTAGTTGAAGGGAAACAAGTCATCGTAGAACAAGTTGCAAAAGTCTCTGGGTGTTGGTGAACTCTGACTATCTTCATGATGAGTGTTTGTGGTGAAACAGCATAGGTTGTACAGTGTGAAGATGATTTTATATAATAGGTTTCAAAAGAGTTTCAAAGCATCTTTGCTGTAAAATTCATCATGAGAAAGAGCTACCCTTCATGACTTGGAGATGTAAAGTCAGTAACCTGTGTGATAGACAACGTGTGAAAGATGTTCAGGAAGGGGTGAAGTGTAGAAAGGAGCAGTAAGAAACACTTCACTTCATAAGATAAAGCATGAGCTTATCTAGGATACGGGGGACAAAGGAGAAATCTTGTCACTAACCCGAGGGAATAAAAGAGAAAACTTGTTCACCAATCTGTGGGAGGAGTCAAAAGAAAGAAAAATAAGAAATTTTTTAAAAAAAAAGTATTATATGAATAGCAAAAGCTTGCTCTGTTTTGATCACTTCTCCCACTGCAGAAAGGAGCAGTAAGAAGCACAACTCAAGGTCTGTAAAAATATTATCAGTCTTGATGATTCAGCCTGAACATGGTTTCGCAGTCTGTCACACACCTTAACAAGAGGACTCGCTTGCACTCTGGGGTATGAAGGTGTGAAGACTACTCTTGTAGAATCAACATAAACATTGTTGTTGGAACAGCAAAGTGATTTTTTTTTATAAAAACAAGGGTCAAAAAGGAAAGCTAAGTACTGTACAATCGACCATGGAGCTTCACAGACCTCAAAAATGGGAGAGACGGTTGTGGTTGCTGATGCTGAAAGAGATTTGTTCGTGATGTCTAATGGTGGTTCAGAAAATTTGAGTTGAGCTTAAAGGTATGTTGTTCTCTAAAACTTGATGTTGTTGTGCTATATGCATTAGGTTGATTTTGAATCAATTATGTCAATCAAGCAGGGGGAGAATTAATGGTATAATCTGAACTTGTTCAAGAAAGTTAGAATTCAGGGGGAGTTTAGGATTCAGGGGGAGTGTTTCAGTGTTTGAACATCATCTTGTACTTTGAATTTGGATGTTGCTTGGTTTTGTGTGTTTTTGGGAGAGTTCATAAACCTGTTGCATGTTGGATAATGCTCCATAGTTGATTTGAGGATTTGTCATGATCTTTAATCCTTCTGGAAATTGTTTATGATTTGCTTCCGTGTGATATGATGTTTGCTTGTGAGTTTCTTGAAAGGATTATTGCAGGATAGCTTGAATTGACAAACTAGATCAAAATGGGGGAGATTGTAAGTGCATATAGTTCTTGGGCCTGAAGGACGCACAAAGCTTTGGCATGAAGGACGCACAAAATTTGGACCTGACGGATGTGCACAGACTGCTGTTGGAATTTGCAGGAAGTTGTTCAGACTGACGGATGCGCACAGCCCGCTGTTATTGCAGGACGCTGTTTCAGAATGACGGATGCGCACAGCCTGTTGTTACTACATGACGTTGTTTCAGAATGACGGATGCGCACAGCCTGTTGTTACTGCAGGAAGCTGTTTCGGATTTGAGGAGTAGTCAGCAAGTAAATTAGCTGACGTGGATTCTGTTACAAACAGAAGACATGACGTGGAGAACACGAGTTTGGGATCAGTTAGGAAAGAATATATTCACAAGAAGATTTGGAAATATCCAAGCCCTAACCTAGAAGGTTCTCAGCCCGTCGAATATAAAAGGGTTCGTTGAGAAGCTTGCTAGGGGTAGCCATTTGAAGAGAGAAAAAGTTGTGCTAAGCTTTTTCTTTAGAGAGAGTAAGGTTTACTCTGAATCGGTATACAAGAAAGATAAGGAAGAGTGTGTTCTTCAGATCTGTTCTTGTTTACGTTAGAAATCTCAGGTGACAAGCTAAGGTAGTTTTGATCTTGTGTAAAACTAATTAAGAGTGTTGTAAACATCTTAATAAGATTTTTAATAAAGGTATACTCTGTGTTTCTGAGTTTAGGGAAAACGGTCTCTATTTAAACGTTTATGATATGGCTTCTATAAAAAGGAATAAATTTTTATTTTCTTAACCAAATCAAAATTTTTATTTATATAAAAAAAATATAAAAAAAAAATTTATTTATACTAAATAGAATCATTGGTTTTTCTTTTATATCTCTGTTATTTCAAAATCATGTTATCACTTTAATTCTATGTTTCATATACACTATACATCATTTTATGTCATATATACATAAACCGTCTTCTATTATTTTGATTAGTTAATTTGGGTGTAGGCGCTAGGTTATTGTCCAGTCATGTCCATAGTGCTTTCTTAAACATTTATTTTCTAAGAATATAGTAGTATTTTGTTATCACAATATTTGAAGTGTTTGACTTCACAACATCAAGTAACAAAAGAAATTTTTTTGTTTTGCATGCATATTAGTATGTATATATATTCTTGAAGATTTTTTTTTACTTTTTAGTGTTAAAATGATTTATGCTTTGCTTCTAAAGAAAAGTTTCAAAGAGACCAAAATTTCAACCATACAACCTCATTATAATGTTTAAAAAGTAATATAATAACAAGTTTAGCCAACCAAACCAAACAACTAATCTTTACAAAATTGGAGAGATCACTTGTAAATGTACAAATGGTTTTTCCTTTTTTATTCAAAAAAAAAAAAGAATGTACAAATGGTGTGGTTCCAAGCCAATTCCTCAGAGCCCAGAGAAACCGACTCTCATCTTCTCAATCATAAATATTTTAGGTTGTAGATTCTTTGTTAAGTGGATGAATCATTCATGGTGTATAAAAAGAAAATCATTAATTAGAGAACAGTAGTATCATTGACTTTGTCTTACCACAATGTCTTACATTTTTCTTTCAATTATATACACGTACTACATATATCTTTATGTTAGGTATCACAGTGCAGAATAAATTATATAATAGGTATTTGATAAAGTATATATAAACAAATAAGAATAAAAACAAGATTCCGCAATGTAATACCTAACATAAAGATATATACCAGGAAGTTCTGTATCAAAACCCGTAATTTTCCCGGTCCGAAACCACAACATGTAATATTAGTTTCGTCGCAAACGTCATTCGAACCGGTGTACCTATTTTATATTACTATCAAATACAATACATTTTTCTGTTAAAGGAGAGAATCACATATTTTATATAAAAATCTGAGTTTTCTTCCCACCAAAGACGTCTATGAATGGTTAAGAATGATTGAAACCACAGTAGAGCTAGCACTCAAATTCTTCATGCTTAAAAAAATACCGATATAATATTTAACAGGATTCATACAGGTGGACATATCTAGTTGTTTATAAACCTAAAAACCAAGTTTACTTCCTCGTCAACGGACATGTTGTTGTCACCAATCTGGTAACGACAAATGTTATATAATCCAACAATTGCGTACTGATCTTGCTTTGTGTATAAATAAATCACATTTCCATACACAACATTATCATAGTATTATACAGACAACTAACATGGCTAAACGTTTTCTGATTCTTCTTCCTCTCTTCTCAACTATTCTTCTTCTTGCCGTAACCGTTACAGAATCCGAAGCTTACTCGACAACAACGCCGTTTCAAGGCTACAAGCCGGAGTGCTTCACTCACCTCCACTTTTACTTCCATGACGTCATCACCGGTGACAAACCTACCGCCATCAAAGTCGCCGAAGCCCGCCCAACAAACTCCCTCAACGTCAATTTTGGCGTGATTATGATCGCTGATGATCCGTTGACAGAAGGACCTGACCCGAGTTCAAAGGTAGTGGGAAGAGCTCAGGGGATGTACGCATCGACGGCCATGAAGGACATAGTCTTCACAATGGTATTTAACTTGGCTTTCACGGAAGGAGAGTTTAATGGAAGCACCCTCGCGATGTATGGCCGGAATGATATATTTTCGAAGGTGAGAGAGATGCCGATTATTGGAGGAACCGGTGCTTTCAGGTTTGCTAGAGGGTATGCACAGGCCAAGACTTATAAGATTGTTGGTCTAGATGCCGTGGTCGAGTATAATGTCTTCATTTGGCATTAATTATTTCGCATATTTGTTGTTTAATGTCTTTCAAAAATAAATAAAATTTCACTTTGGTTTTCTTGTATTGTTTTTGTTATTTTTGTTCTGTTTGTGTTGTGTCGTTTTGTTGGATTTGAACCTTTGATTAAATCTACAAAAGAGTAAGCTTCAATGAGAACAAGAAGAAGAAGAAGAACAGAGCAAAAGAAGAAGCAACGGCTCGTGATTGAAGAGAAGAAGATGTACGACATATGCAAAGTCAACATGAGAAAGGAGTTGGGCTTTGTGTGGTTTGGTCCTAAGAAGACTAATGGGCTGCGTTTTGGTTAAGGCCCAAATAAAAGAAGTGTGTTTTTGTTAAGAGTTGTTGTACTAAGTAGAGTTGCTAAGAGCATGATTATCCATAGTGTCTTAGAAATAAATCTTACGAATATTTAAGTAATATATTTATAAAATATGGATCTTAACTATGTTTTTGTTGCTTAGCTAAGAAACTCTCTTAGCAATAATAGCTTAATTGAGATTTAATTTTAATTATTTATTGTTAAGATCCAACTTAAGATTTTTTTAAGAACCTGCCATTAATCATAGTCTAAGGTGGAGTTGTTAGGAATAGTTAAGAGTTGTTGTACTTGCTAACATTGCTTGTAAAACTAAGTAAGAGTATGTGGTTGTGTAAGAACCTAGGATCTACAAGTATGGTTTAAAGTATGGGTTCATGTGAGGTGCAAGTAGAAGATGTAGTTTAAGTATGTGTGTTGTGTCTTGTAAGAATCATCTTTGTGATCCAATAAACAAAATGTAGACAATTAATGTTTTCTCTCTTTCTCTCTTACCAAACGTTTTATGTCTTTGTGTTAAAGCAAGAAACAAACCAAAGACTAGAGAGAATGAGAGTTAAGGTTCTCTTTGTGCTTGTGTTAAAGTGAGTGAGTGATACAAAGCATTAAAGAGAACAAAGAGAGAATAGAGATGGTGAACCTCTAAAGATTAAATAGAGGAAGAACCCCAAATGTCAACACGTTTAAAGTTTAAAATGTGTAGTAGTTTGAATATTTCCGTACTTGAGATGTGTGAATGTCTCGTAGTAATTGGAAATTTCTACTGGTACTAAATTAAAAGGTGAGTACGGGGCAATTAAGATATAGATATTGGTGATACTATCACTAGGCATTCGGTTTGGGTTCGGTTGCGTTCGGTTTCGGTTAGTTTGGATATGGTAATATAATAACCATTCGGATATTTTAGGAATTTCGGTTCGGTTCGGTTCGGTTTGGATATTTAAATAGATAACCGTATCTAACCAAACTTTTATCACGTTCGGTTTGGTTCGGGTTTTTACCCAAAATAACTGAAACTAACCGAAATTAACCAAAAAAAATACAAAAATAAAATACAAAAAAAGAAAAATCTTAGAAAGAAAAATAAAATTTGATTCAATTTTGTAAAAGAGTATTTAACTTTGAAAAATATAACAAACAATATTTGGATATTTTGATTATTTAAACTATTTGATTGTTTTGATTCTAAAAATAATTAATATTTGAGTTTATAATTATAGTTTTGGATATTATTTTTGGGTATCTTATAGGTTTTTGGATATTTCGGTTAACCGTTTGGTTATCGGTTCGGTTAGTTTGGATAGGGGATTTTACTAACCATTCAATTATTTTTAAAACTTCGGTTCGGATATGATTCAGTTTTTTTCGGTTCGGTTCGGTCGGTTATTTGGTTAACGGTTTTTTTGCCCAGGCCTAGGTGATAAATTGAACGGTTGGAAATGTCCTGAATGATTTGTGCTTACTTTTATAAGGTTGTAATATCAAGATTTGACATTCGTACGTTAAAAGTGGTTATAATGTTTTTGATGAATACCGATTATAACCAACAATGAGTTGGCTTAGTGAATGGCTAAACCCATTGGTTACCGCTAATGTAGGGATTTTATTGGTCACGGGTTCGATTCGA